TGTTGTCCTTGTGACCTCAAGTTCGTACTCGATCGAACATCGACCTACGATTCAATCGAGGGAAGGAGCAAACATGCGAGACTAACTCGAACACCCTTTTCTTACCCATGCCGTGGTCTGCCTATTCTATGGGATTGCTTCGGGCTTAGCCCAATCGGGCAGCTTGTCTTTGCACCATTCACACGGCGAAATCGGTCCTTGTTCGGCACATCGGCTGGCTCTAACGCCGCCTTTGCTATGCGCCCTGCTGCAATCCATGGCCAACCGCATGCTGTCACCCATTCGTTCGGGTGGTTGCGAAATGCATTTCCTGCCGTGGAATGGGTCTTCCCTGTCACCAGGTTGATCACCACTTCCGGGTGACTCCACTGATTAAACATTTTCAAAATGGCTGACCTATCCTTGCACCTGGCTGCAAGCTCTAGGGAACACATTGGTGTGCTCGATTGGCACACTAAGGCCAAGAGGAACGCCCTCCACTAACCATCTCGGCACGACTTGAGCATCGGCGTCACACGCAGCTTCCAACATGGCACCAAGAAGGGCGGTCTGGTAGCCTTCGGTGTTGGTGGCTTCATTTACCTCAAATTCTTCATGCAAGACCTGTACGGCCTTCTGTACTGTCTCCGGCTTCACTGACATGCTGTGCTCGAAGTGCTTCAAATCGTGCTCTTCTATGCACAGCTCAAGCGCCTTCCTGATTCTATGCCCTGTTGTCCTCAGGGCTTTGCTGCTGGCCTCTGCTTTTCTGGGATCTCGAAGACCCCCCACTGCTGCTGCGAAGTTCTCCTCTTCCCTGATCTCGGCCTTCGACTTCTCTCCATCGAACATCTGTGCCTTGGACGATGGATCTTCGGCCCGGGCTTCTTTCATCTTCTGCTTCTCGGCGGCCAAGTCGTCCCGCCTCCTCTTCAAGATGCTGAGCTTCTCCTTCATGGCTACCAGCTGATGGGCTCTGGTATGTACCATTGTTCGATCGGCCAACCATTCGAGCAACGCTTCTGCCCAAGCCTGACATAGGCCAAACGGGTATTCTGCAGCTCTTGAAGTCTTCCATACCCATTCCTCCGTGATTGGGTTCCATGTCTTTCCGGTCAGACCTCCAGGGAGATGGAAATGCGGCCTGACGTCCTCGCACTTCAAATTGACTCGGCTCATCCAGTCGGACGTAGTCACTATCCGAATGCTTTTCTTGGTGTGTGCTCCATACGGGCACTGGTCCAATTCGACATTGTGGACACCCTTCATCTTCAGGATCTTCTTCATCTTGGGCTGTTCCCAGGCATAGGACATTCCCGGGTTCTCCATTGACCATGTCTTCCCAACCTCTTCTGCCAGGTAGATCAAGGCTATTACCTTCTCCAGGATCTTGTTGCCCTCCTCTGCCGTGGGGTGGCCCCCTTCTGGTCTCTCGTCTGACCGAATCACCGGCACTGATCCATAGTTGTCCACTCTCCTTGCCCTCGAAAAGCTCCTGCACGGGAAGGCAAAGTGTGTATGGTCTGCTTTCAGGACAACTTGTTTGGCTCGTTCGAACCCCTCTTCCTGCAAGATGTCCCAGTTGCCCTGCACGTCTAGAGGCACCAGGACTTCCACCAAGTCTCCACACACTCTCTTCACTTCTCGTGAGAGTCCAGCCTTTCCTGCGAAGAGTTCCAGGAACTTGTACTGGCGAGTGCTTTCCGGCTTCTCGAATTGGGCGTCTCGAATCTTCTTGTCTGAATTGCTCACAGCTGACGTGTCCTCCACCTTGCATTGCGCAGCTTCCGTGGATGGATTCCCCCACTGCTCGTCGAGCACAGGGAGCGTCTCCACGTTGATCAGCTTCTTCTCTGCTTGTCAGTTCTTGTTCTTGGCTTTTCCCTTGCCCTTTCCTTTTGGCTTGGATTGCCTCTCCGTGCACTGAGAGTTGGGATGCTTCCCAAGGCAGTGCTGGCAAGAGTGCACTCGTCCATCTTTGCACGGCTCTGGACAGTCTCCAGGTTTTCCCTTGGCGAACCTGAAGCACAACTCGTGGCCTTCCGCCGTGGTGATGTAGTGCTTGCCCCACTTCTGTGGGTGCCCCCCATTGTCTCCTCCACGAGGTTGCGGAGGCTCTGAAGTGTCCTTCTTGGCCTTCTTCTGCTTCTTCTTGTGAGCCCCTCTGTCCTCGTCGATCCCCAGTGCATCTTTTGCTGGTGAAGGGATGTTCACCTTACGGCCTTGTCCATCGTCATGTTGCGTCCTCCACGGGCGATGAACATGGTGGCCGGCCCGATCACGTGTTCGTCCCAGAACTCCCGGTTTCGTGCTGCGTAGGTGAAGACTCCAATCCATGGCTGGTTTGGAAGGAAATCCAGCCCCATCGGAAGTCGATTGTCTGCAGCCGCCTTGGTGAGGTGTCGACGAAATCTTTCGAACATCTCTGATCGACATTTGTCCTCGGCCTTCACGATGAGGTGCCAAGTCTCTGGGAAATCTTGATTGAGCTTCGAGATGCGGTCGTAGTATTCCTCCAGGCAGGCGGAAGTCACCACCTTCAGATGCTCTCCACCTGGTGCCATCGGAGGATACCTCAGCATGAAGAGAACACCTTCCAGCATGCCTTCCATGCCTCGAATGACGGTGGTCCAGGGATGTCTAAGGCCTTGAACGCGCCGTCCTGCTGCAGCAGCCATGACCTCGTCTTGAGCTGCTTTTGCATCGTCCGTCCAAAAGGAGTGAGGATGCTGAAGTCTGCGTACGGGCTTTCTCCCCTTCTGACTATCCGATCTCGAAGTGCGGCCACCTGCTCTGAAGTGGGCTCTGCATCGTCGCTCGGCTCCGCACCAGTCATATCTATATGCCATAGGTGTGCTTGATCCAGCTCTGTACGAGTCATAAGATCGATCTCCAAGTCGTCCATCTGATCTGTCACGCTGGACATCTTCACTTTCTTTGAGGGAGAGGCCCCAGGGTGAACTGGAGCTGCTGGGGCTGTCACCGTCGAGGCTGGATCTGTCATCTGCAGGGATTGCCGAGACACTCTCCACATGTGAGCCACATGAATCATCTCCATGGCTTGCAACTCCCTGCGATTGGGATCGGCACCAGCTCGAACAGCACGCAAGGTTTCTCGCAGAGTGCTGGCTGGCAACATTGCAAACAAAGCGGGTGTGCCTACTACTCCTCCAAGAACCTGATCCACAGCATTCCATACCTGCTCGCTGCAGGAACAATGGGCACGGATTCGTGCCAACGTGTCCAATCCAGCTAGGGTAGCAGCATCGGGTAGACCATAACCGGCCATCGAAGCTTAGGAACAAGGCTCCCACTGTAAGGCAGCAAAGGCGGACGGCCCAATGCATGCACGCAAAGGCTTCCACGAAGCCGGGCCAAGCAACAACCACCGGGTTGTCAGGGCCCCCACCAACACACCACACGTGAATGCCACCAGCAAAAACAGCTCGAGAAACATGAGCGAACCGACCTATCTGGTGCTGGGGGTTGACTTGAGAGATCACATCATCACACAGCAAGTCAAAACCACCCTACTCGCAGTTTCACTCCTTACAGTTTTCACTGCACAAACGAGTTTGTTTCACGTAGAGCAGGGGGATGAGGATCCCTTGGTGTGCCTCATCTAACAAAGACCGCACCAAGTGGATGTGATATCAGTGCCCGGCCAGCACTGACGTACCTGCCTTTCAATTTTTAAGTCTTTTCTGCAGTCACGCATTGAGCTTTTGGCCCTGCTTCCTCTTGAAGACCTCCAGGCTCCGGAGGTTTGCTTGACCTTTTCAGGAATTGGGTACCCAGGTTGGCGTGTGGCAACCGCTTTCACATCAGCACGCATTTCTATAAGTGTGTGTGTGTGTGTGTGTGGGGGTGTGTTTGTTCCGTTCTCAGGCCTGCCCAGGCCGTTCATGAGCTCGAATCCAAAAGTAGTTCATGCCATGGGCCACCACGACCGGATCCAGGATTCTGATACGTATTGGGTCCACAACTGGCAGGAGCGGCCTTGTGTTCCGGTAGATCTGGCTCTCGTACAAACCATGCACTAAATCACTGGACGAATGGAAGAGCTTGCGCTGCACAAACTTGTTGAACACTTGCTGGTCCATCCAATGGCGAGGGATACCACCGACCTGAGTCTCGTTGTGGTCCTCCAAGAACTCATACCTTGGTGTGATAAGGTCTGTTTATGTCAATGTCTGTGTTTGGTTCATCTGACTCTAATAGGAACACCTGATCTGCTTTTTGAACACTAACGCACAACCCATGGTACCCAGGAAACATCCATTGAAACATGCCCCCAACCATTGCAGCCAAAGCACAGGAATGCCTTGGTGCGGTTCGAAGCCTTTACCTGAAGTTGTTGAGTCACGTTGAGTTGATGGAGCTTGATTGAGCTTGCGACGGCCACAGAAGGCAATGTGTGCTTTGAACTTAAAGTAACTGCAGCTACTGAGCACTCTGAGTCATTCATCCCTCAAGATCAGCCCTCAAGACCTGAGGTCACCACATAGATGCATCCAGTATTGATGTGCTCCTCGGGTCTGGTCCAATACCTTGATCACGGTGGAATCATTGAATCACTGCGATAAACACCTGTATGATTTAACGGGTCAGTAGGTCTTGACAGGTCGTGTTCCTTCCTCAAGCAAAAAGCAGCTGAACAAACTTGCGCGAATTGGATGGAAAGTTGTATATATATATATACAGTATATGTAGCTGGTATACCTCAATTGGATATTCCCGAACTCTGGTGGTACAATATGTTGATTGAAAATTAAGAAACAAATCCGTTTGACACCTTTTGGGCAATAATAAAGCCGATGATGGGCAAAGTCCTAGCAAAGCGCAGGACATCTTTATCCATAATCGGGCATGTTGGTTGACCGTGCATGTACGTGAGTGGACTCGAAACACGCTTGAATCTGGTGCGATTGAAATGAATGCGAGCGGCTCCCACAAATGAAGTTCTGGCCAGAAATGATCTGTCATCACCTGCAACGGGTCAGGTCAACAATGGCAAAACGTACATGCGGACCTGCAACACGTCTATGCTGTACACTGTATACTGTACTTGAGTTTCAAAAAGACTCTTCAACATCATTTGCCGGAGACCGTAGGTTCACTCTCCAACTCCAAACTTGGCTGTATGGTATATAATATATACAGTATATATACAGTATACGCAAATCAAAATATATCGTGTTATATCATTGCATTGCGGGTGTCACTGGTCACTGGTCCTTATTTTAAGACCACAATATTGCATTGTCAAACCTCGGGGCTTTGTGTGGTATATAAGTGTGGCAAACGTGACTCGCGTTTTGGCAACTTGTCCGGCACATTCCCACGAGTGCCGTTCCAGAATAGTTTCCCTTCTTGTCTTGTCCCACGTATTTAGTTTATCTTTTCCCCTTCCCTGCAGCAACCTGCAGCAACTGTTCATAGCGTCTCATGGTGACATTACGCCGTGAGTGTTGATGACTTTTAGCACGAGATTTATCGCGGTTTCATCCACATGATGATGCCAGAACAAAAGTTTGGCCACGGTCACGGTCCACATGGAGATGTGCAAGTAGAGAGGTGTTGGCCTGAAGTGCGGCCTGAAGACAAACCAAAGATGTGGATTGTTAGGTTCATTAGCTGAGGCTTAAATGCGATGGCCAGTGTATTCTCAAGTATCTACAAAGGCCCGTATTTGCAAGATCTTCAGCAGGGCTGTGAGCCCCTAGCCTTTCAAACTGCAATTTTTAACGCCAGCATAGAGAGTTTTCAACCTTCATTGTCTGAATCAGTTTGATGAGACTGCAAACTGCACAATTTTGACCGTGGTTGTGCTGCAGAATGCTGGGTGACCTGGCGCAGCGCTTAAACAAATCCAGGACGTGTCACTCCACGCACTGCAATAACGGACCTGTGTTCCTCTGGAACCAACCTCTCATCCTGATAATCTGTCTGCGGCATGGCAAAAAGACTCCCTACGTGGAGGAGTTAGTGCAAGATGGGTGAAAGGGGGAAAAACTTAACGCTTTGAAGGTACAATGCATCCTGGCAAGGATTTCTACAAACTCAGCAAAACGACGGCTGCAAAGAACTGCTGCAAAAAGACTGCAATACACACAAACAACACGAACGAACAAACTCCAAAATGTTTCGCCTCAAAATCAGCATCCCCTTTCAAGACTTCAAATGGACTTCGCAGCACCACAATGTCTGAGTCCAGAACAAAGCCTTCATGGACACCAGTAGAAGTACATACGAAAACAGGTCCAGCATTCGGGGAGAAAAGAGATATGTTGGCTATTGTTGGCTCAAGTCAAATTTACGAGTAAGAAGTAAGGAGAGCTTTATGCAAATGACAGGTTCGTTTGGTGTCCAAGCTGATGCGAATCATCATCAAGCATAGATGTATATATATATATATAAAGTATTGTGGATTTTGAATGCGCTTGCATTGCTAGGCAAGGAGCCATTGACCCCGAAGTAAGCAAAGGTATGCAAAATAAACCACCGCATTTTCCAAATTGCATCTTTCCTCGGCCGTCAAGCTCTAACACAGTGGCGCATTTACTAAACAACTTGGTGCAGCGCAAGAACCAAATTACCTTATTTCGAGAAACCCCACCATGACACTTCAATCTGACAAGTTTTCCGGCTTGTATTGAAGCATTATTTCGGACTTCTTTCTGGCATATCTTCTGACATTCTTTCTGGCGTTCTATCTGGCATATCTTCTGACCCGCGGTTGAGGTCCGGCGGGGAACACTACTACCAGCCGAAGCTCGCGGTTGAAGTTCGGCGGGGAACACTGCCAGCCGAAGCTCACGGTTGAGGTCCGGCGGGGAACACTGCCATCCTGCACTTGCGGTTGAGGTCCGGCGGAAGAGGACGAGGCGGAGGAGGAGGAGGAGGAGGACGGCAGCTGAGATAAGAACTAACAACCCTCACCTGACAGGTGAGGAAAAAGAATGGCAACTCAATGAAGAACCTGTCAGTCAAGTAGATGTTATGCAAGTATCAACGCACTGACTTTCCAGCTGGGCTAAACGTGTGTTCTTGATTTATGCGTCAAAGAAGCAGGTCAAGGCGTGGTACTGCGTGAAGGATGGTCTGGAACCTATGTTTCCGCATGGCACGGCGGGCTTCACGATCCAGTGCGATGCACACAAAGCTCCTGAAAAAGAGGCACATGGGTGCACATGTAGGACAGTGTAGCGTCAAACAAGTGTTTCTCTGCCTTGAGATATCAGAAGTATTCAGAAGTACTGTTGTATCATGTTCAGCAAGCATTGTTCAGCAATTATTGCTCTAGTTATGCCATGCTACCCGCCTGAAGCGATTGGAAGTGGACTCGTTGCTTTTGATGTCGTCGTTGCAAACACAAGCCAGCGGACCAGCAGTGAGCAACATATTGGGTAAAGGCAGGGGGGGCTTAGCCCGTGAATCAACATGCCCACACCTGGTGCTTGTTTTTGTGTTTCGGGCTAGTGGGATTGTTGTCTAGGAATTCATGAACTCCAAGAGGGTGAGTTGAGTAGAGTTTTAAGAAACTCAAGTAAGCCCAGCTCTGCGATGTAGCCTATCAGCCTCTCACACCATCAGGCCTCACAAGTTCCTCAAATGCTGACTCGGTGAAGGGCACTTCAAACCAGACAAAGGCAACAAAAGAACTGATCCGGTCCACCTATTAAAAAGCACGCCCCCCCCTAATAAGGAAGCCTCGGTTGCCTCTCTTTTTAATAGAGGGTCCCTGAAATCGGGGTGGTCCAAAATAGGGTCACCTGGGAAGGGCTTCAAACCAAAAAGTCACCAAGGAACATGTTATATAAAATCCTCTATTAAACTCATATCAAAAATTCAACAAACCTCCAGATCGAAGGGTCTTCTTTTTCCCCCTACAAAAACCTTTATTAGACTAGTGATTCATTAGACTAACAACTAAAGCTTTCGAAAGGTGATGTCGCTGTGCCATGCGGTTTTGCGGGGAAGGAAAGCCTGCTGGTGTAAACATGGCGTGTCATGGTGGATTGACAGGGTGGACAGCGGTGGGCAGTTACGGTTGCTTTTGGAACCTAATTAAAAAAATCCTCCAAAATCGGCAATGTTGGTAGTTTAGTAGCGGCTTGAAAGGGCGTAATTTAACAACGAATATAAACCGTATTTAGGGGTTCCGACATGACTTCTTTTTAAATAGGGGTCCGTTTTTTAAAAGGTACTCGGGATTAACGACAAACACAAACAAACCTCAAAGTGGTCCCCGCCATGTCCTGTAAGCCAAATTTGCCATGGGCGCAACATATGAAACTTTATGAATAACTTGCTCCATCTACAAAGGAAAAGTGTCGAGTAGCGAGAGTTGAAAAAGAATGTATAACTGTCCCCAGACCCCCGACAAGAAGATGTTGGATCGTCGGGAAGGTTGCCTTCACGGGCTAGCCCCCTTTGACCCAACATATTGATCGATATGATATATTATGATGATTTCTTATGTATGTTATTGTATGTGTTCCTTTTCCATGTTCCCGGTGCTCCTCTCCAGATGCGGAGTGTTGCGCCGCACTGAGAGTGCCAAATTCAGCGCTAAACTCATGTACTTGGACTCCCCTGTTGTCCAGGTTGCCAAGAGCGATTGTTTTCTCCTGCACGAAGCTAATCTTCACATGTGCAACAGCCAGGGTTTGTTGAAGGGCCGAAGGCCGAAGCCAAGAGAAGAATGCTTTCTCTACTCTCTGGTGGGTCTCACCTTTTGGCTGAAGTCTATGAGACCACAGCTGTTGAGCTGTTTAGAGAATTACCATTGCCGAGAGGCCCTGCTTTCTTCAGCAAGTTCACGTCAGCTTCCTTGTCAAGGCATACTCATGAAAACCTTCAAGCTGGGCCGTAGATCTTGCAATGTATCACAATCACAATTGAAAAGGATTGAGCAGGAAAATTTATGGGAGTAGAGTAGCCAACCTCATTGGTGCCTCACCGCTAAACTTGTGGCAAGCAGCTCGCAGATCCAGCATGAAAGTTTGACCCAGCGGCTTCCTCTCTTTGGTCACCTCCCGAAGATTGGGCCCAACCCCACCAGTTGACCTTAGAGCACAAAAGCCATCACATCAAATCAAACAAACCTGGAGCTCCAAAGTGCCTTTTGTTTCTAGAAACAGTTGCAGGTGCTTTCCAAGGAAGTGTCGCAACTGTTAGCTTCTGGTTTATGTGCGCTTCTTCTGGTAGGGCATATCGATCTTTTGCCAAGAAGTGAGGCAAATATCCAACACCGCACTTGCGCTAGCAGTTTCCTGATGTTTCTGCGCCAATCATCCTGATGTTTATGCCTAGTAGCGTCCTGTTTGCGTCAATGCTGGACGCGGCCAAAAACATGCAACTTTTGGGAAGAGTGGCGTAAATGTCGATAAAGTGACGTAACGGTTTCGTCACGTTCTGGCACTGTGGGAGCATGTTTTCAACATTTTTCAACCAACATCTCGTTGTTGCGACGATGTCCTCCCTCTCCCCAAATCACTCCAAATCATACTTTGATGCCAAAATGTGTCAGAGTGGCAGCCTGGCACTTTGGATCTCCAGGAAGAACCCATAAAGCAAAGCCAAGCGAGTGAGCACGTGCGCATGAAAAAATGAGAAAGCATGAGCAAGCAAGTGCTCAGGCAAACACGAAAAGGCACAAGAAAAGCAAGCAGCAGGGCGGCAGGCAGTAAGCAAGCACCAACTCTAGCAACATTTGCAGACTTCACACTGCAAAATGCCAAACCGCGTAGCTCACAATGCACAGTGGTGACCAGTTCCCATTGGATGTTGTACCTGAGAACGCACTGCTGTAGCCCCATACATTCTATATAAGAGATTCTTTCGTACAAATGAATTAGTCTCAAGGCTCGCAACTTCACCTTGTGCACTTCTGCATCCGCGAGAAAGGGCAGTGAAAGAATGTGGAGAAAAGTAGCCACTGTGCCCAACAGTATTGATCTTTGTTGTACCTTTCGGACCTAATCCCCATGGAACAAAGATGCAAAGGCATTTTCACGTTTTACTGGGTTCGGTTTGGCGGGGTGGGGTGGGGGTGGGGCCAATGTGTCGTGCGCTGCATGACGTTTCGCAGGTTTTCGGTCGCGTGTTCATTTTCGTTCTTGTTATACATGTTGTTATCCGTTTCTGTTTTCGACCTTTGAACTGTTGAGGTAGCTTGCGCCGGGTCAACAAAGTTGGTCGGATGCTGCCACGAAAAACACATGTGGACCCGTTGGCCGTACGACTCTTGGATGAGCCCGGATTCAAAACTATGCTGAAACCATGATAACTCGTCGCTGATGCACTGACTCTGAGTGAAAAAGAATGCTGGGAATTGGAATATATTATGGCTTCCAATTAAGATTGGCTTGTACCCCATTTCGCGTCCGCACAAGGGACCGGAACGTTGTTGTCAAATGTTGTAAACTCTTCAAGAAGCAACCTAGAGAAACAAGAAAGCAAGTAAGAAGCCGATGCTGATGCTCTTGAACAATCGTGCAATGAGCAATGCAATGCCAATCAAGATCAATCAAGGATCTCTGGTTTCATCTGTTCTGCAGGCGATACCCCTTGGCTTTGAGCAAAGTAAGAACTTGCCGCAAACTTGCGATTTTTGCAAGGTACAGTCCAGTTTGGGGGCCCTTTTTGTAGATCTTGTCTCCTGTGGGAAATCTCTCAATACACCTGCTAGCATCTGCTAGCTCTGTCCGCCCTGAAGGTCTCTTCCAAGGGCTACATCCAAGTGACCACTTTCACTGCGAGTTCTCCATTGATCCCCAGGAAGCGCAGGCCTCTCAACAGCTTGAAACGAAGCCCATCTCATCAGCATTTCGGAGATGCTGACGTTCTCCTCACGGCCTAGACTGCCAAACAACACCAGCATGATGTAGAATCGATAGAACAAACAAGAAAAAAACAATTCAAGCTAACCGCTGCAACAGTTAGAGCAGCACTGACCTATAATTGCGCCGAGTGGCACATGTTCAAGAAGCGTTGCTTGGTCTTGTTTTGCACCCACAAGTATAAAGGCACCAAGCCTTCCATTCCAGCCCTGTTGCGCTTAGCATCTTCTGGTGGACTGCCAACTACCACTGGCACGAGTGCGCCAAGTAATGGAAAGACAAGCCTTGCTGGAAGCATCAGCTAGTCTCCATCGCAGGAGCTACATCACCCAGGGCCAAACACTGCGCATCCATCGCACAGTTGATACCAACTACCGTGTATAGAAGGGCGAGTATTAGAAGTATAAGAAAGCATTGGAATGGCACGCAGCAGCATCTTGGTTGCAATCAAAACTGCCAAGAGTAATAATCCACGAGAGTCGCATCTGTTTTGTGTGAGCATGGCAAAGCGCTTGACAGTCTACCTGTTTATGGCATAGCAAGCCGCAACTCGATAAACAGCAATCTGCAATCTTGCTAAGAACAAAAAGCACTTTCTCAGAAGTTGGACCAGGACAAATTGCAAGAAACCAAACCAAAAATATCTAAAAATACACTGAAGCAGCTGGACTGCTGAAACGCGTGCTAAATTTTAGGAACCCTGTAATAGTCAGTATGTAAGTAGCAGGAGGGGCTTGGAGCCGATCTGTCCTAATCTGGAAAGAGCAGGAAAGGTTGGGAACTGACCATGTTTTTCTCTGTGAAGGGTAGTGGGGTAGCAGGAGAGGTTTGGAACCGATCTTCTTTGAATCTGTAAACTAACAGCGAGGTGTTTAGAACCGATCCTGCCCCAGGGGAGGCCCAACCTCTTGAGCTCATTTAGGCCAGAAAAAGGGTTTCCAAATGAGCGCGGCTCCGGTGGGACAAGCGACTGCCACGTGCTAATTGTGCCCGGGAGTTGTGGCGCATCATGCGCATCGCAAGGGGGGTGCGAAATGATCATTCCTGGTGTAATTCCTGGTGTAATTCTCATTGAATAGTTTTGACTTATTTATAGAACAAATGCCGACACGGCTTGAGTCTTTTTGTCACAATGGGATGGAGGCAAATGTGCATTCACTCCCATACGCCCCAGCTGCACCACGAGGGCCCACACAGGTGCCATTCCTTGCTGACGGCTTTTCGATAACACGAAAACAGACCAAAACCATGAAAAAGTGTTCTGCTTTTTGGAAAAGCTTTCTGCTTTTTCTTTGTTGATATGAGTAACGATTCTAAACGAGCTGGGATGCATAGAGGGATTTGACAAACTTCAATGTGGATCCACGACTCTGAAGTGCTTTGCTTCCTGATTGACTTGTTAATGGATTCTTGTTATTCCTGTCCACCTGTATGTTTAACTACGTATTGCTTTTGCCGTAACGAACTGGTGTTGCAGCTCATTTCAAGGCATCATTCATCATTGTCTCGCCCCGCAAAAGATTGTTGCACCATGCTGCAAATGACTTTTTTAATGATTCGTTGAAAAACACGTGAATTGCCAGCCAGTTGGCTTAATTGCTTAATCACTTCATTTCACTGCGAGCTGTGGTCAATTATTTCAAGGAGCACTAGCACGACCTCCATCAGTAGTTGTAGTACCACTACTACTGCATTTCCTCCAACAGGAAATTATGCGAGCTAAGCATCGCGGATGCAATAAAGTGTTATATGAACCTCAGCGCAACGCATGGTGCACGACGCTTGTGCCTCAACATATCCTGGCTGCCACATCCTGCGTGCCCATCAGTTAAGAGTGATTAAGAATGTGTCTATTTTCAAGACGATATTAAGGTCTTAGGCTATTGGGTGTACCCAAGTGACTTTCTTGGAGCCTACAAAAGCAGGGCCACTTGTTCTGTTCGCCTTTGGCTCTTCGTCGTTTCCCGGATAACCAATTTTTACTTGCTTGGGATGATGATCTTGCTGCAAATGCCAATCAGCATACAATGTTCTCCTTAAAGGATATCGTTTCTTTTTGACCCTGAGGATTCAACCCTTACCACTGACATTCACAGGCCCTTTCAAAGCCTCAGAGCCCAGCTCATCTTCCTGTCAAGCAGCAGCTGAACACTAACAGTTGAGCTGCGTGAATATACCCAGATCTCCATTTCGCATCCTTTCAGGGTCACAGTAACTTTGCATGGCAGGTTGCGTTCACAATTTCTGAGCTCTGTTTGTTGAGGAGACATCTTTCCACTAGTCTAGTCAGCATTAGTCACTAGAAAACTTATGTCAAGGACATGTGATTTCTGCAGGGTTTTGCGGCCTGTGTGCCTTGGAGAAGCAACTTCACAGCTCCGTTGATATCACAATCCCAATTTGCATCCTCAGGATGGATTCTTCACAGCATGGTACATTTTATAATTTTATATAGTATTGAATTCCTCCCATGCCATGCCATACCAATGTTTCCCTAAGCCCCAACATCAAGTGTCTTCTCTTGCTCCATCCAAGAATCATCATTTAACGATATCTTTTGCCAATCTGCTTTTGACACCTGCAGCAGATTTCAGGGCTCATGCTGGGAACCCATGCCCACATCTTCACATGAAACACCCAAATTAGGGATGGTCAAAGAGACAAGGTATAACAACTTGAGGGTGATGCACGTTCCAAGTCTCCTCGTGATCAGTTTTCGCGGACTCCTAAATGCATGTCCAGCCAGCTGTTGGTGACAGTTCACATGCACTGGTGCAGTGTTGTGCGAAAAGTTAGGGTATGCTGGGTGTGATGCACCGATCACCTCAATCATGCCCCTCTTGCTTCGACATCTTGCATGGCTTAAACAAATTTTGTACTCGTTGTTTTTTGCTGGAATTCAGTTGGATGGTGTTGGTGCCTGCAAGAGCTTGGCCCTGATCTGTGGCAAGTGTTCCAGGTGAGGCTCCTTTGCGCGACGCTCCGTTTCACGTTGCACAAGCTCATACAATGCCACCCAACCAGCGCCCAGCAAGTCCAACATTGACCAAGAACGAAGAAAATTGAACCTTAGAAAAGGCATGAACAGGTTGGAAAAGGTTTGAAGTGAAACCCTTCATAAGGTTCTGAGGAGAACGTCAAACAAGCTAGTTGAAAAGAAGGAGCCTACACAGATGTCAAGCCTATTCAGTGCCCATTTCTGAACTGAATTGTCAAGAAAAATGTATCCAACTCTAAATTCTTGGTAGAGCTGGCGCACCTGCATTTCATTGATATAGGCGACAGGCTGCGTGCCAAAGTGCCGGCACCGATGATTATGGCAGTGCAAAGATGGTGGCAATCATTTTCATGTTCGCCAAAGCGCTTCACAGCAACCAATATGTTCTTGAAGGCACGACTGGCAGCAATCATTCAAGGAGCTTTCATGCAATCTCTCTCCCTTTCGCTCAGAAACTAACGAATCCGGGAATGAACGAATCAATCTGCTTGTTGAAGCTCTTCAAGAAAGAAACAAACCATAGATTTTGGAATAAACATCCAGAATTGGGCTTTGGTCTCCGACATCAAACATACATCGTCATTTAGCAGTTCTGTTTCGCTGTTTGCCAAAATCCTTGCCTGCTTCGTGGGAAGTGGAACTGCCGTGCCAGTGCATCCAAATTCCGTCGCCCAAGTTTGCAAAGTCTATCTGAAGTGCTATTTGTCTCATCAGGAAGGTCAGGCAGTCCGTGGCCAAGCATGCCTAGTAGAATCTGACACCAAAAGAAGGAAAACTGATCTCGATGGACAACCGCAATGGATCCCAACAGTCCAACATCGCCACGTGCAGAAAGTGGTCTCCTCCAGCCTCGCCTGCGTTCATCTTCATCCAGTGCTCCGACACTTCTTGAGGCCCTTTTCCGACAGGCTTTGCCTTGCAGAAGTCCTCAGAATCTTTGGAAGCCCAAGGGAGGCACGAGAGGAAGGCGCTGTAGTTCACATCTGGTGGTGGCCTCAACACCAAGGAGCCAACAAGGAGCACCAATAGCATCCAACAGCAATCTATAGTACTATAGTAATTGGTATAGAACACAAAAACGGCTGTATTACTGTATAATGCTATATAGTTACTGGATGTTACTGGTGACAAGGATGGGAATGCAGTGATCTACTTAGATCCAATTCAAAGGTATGTCCGATGCGATCCGATGTCGCTAGCCAACGGTGGTTGCACACTCCTTTTGAATTGCACTGAACATCTCAAGGGTCAACATGACCATCATCGCGGCCAGGGGCCTTATCTTGATTCACAAGCTGGCGCTTGGTCAAAGGGTTGCTAACAATGTCCCTTATGATCCGTCCCTATAATGTAATTGAGGTCAAACTGTGATCAATGTCTGCCAGTCTGTCCACATAAAGAAATAAAACCAGCAGCTACATGCATTATTGCATATATGTGGGAAACCCCGTTCAATGCTCTAGACCCTAGACTAAAGCCTCAGAATCTTTTGCACCAAGCGAATCGGCCTCAAACATATTGGCAAAGGCTTGCAGCTTCTTTGCAGTTCCAAGGCCGGCCCCAACCTTTTGGAGGCGCACGAGGTGAGCTGTGGTCGAAGCCAGGCCACCACAGCAGAGTCACCCCACCCATCAGGCAAACGGCGAGGAAAGCAGGGGTGCATATTGCCTTGCAGCGACTTACGATTGGCAAGATTTGCCAACCTACCTGGTTCTGGCATTTCCCAGGTGTTCGGACGGGTCCAGTGGTAATAAGTCCAGGATGAAAATGTAGTGCAAAGACACGAACAATTATATAACATTATATAACGGGACTGATCTCAAGTGGTTGTGATCTTCGTTTGCTTCCCACTCAACACAGCTGCCAAATACATAGTGCACTTCATCCAAGAAGCGAACGTAATTCCCTCGAGGTTCAGCAAATCGAGTGGAATTGCCAATCCGTTGAAACATGCGATACACCCAGGTGTAGCCTCAGCAAGATCAAAGAAAGCATCTGCAGTCGCCAGTGGTCGTCTACAATGCACTATAAAAATAATCTTCAAACCTCCCACCTCAATCATACATTATCCTCTTTGTCATCCTCTTCAGGTAAGGATTCAAAGAGTTTAGCGGAAAAAAACTGTGTTGACTCAAAAGCATATAAAGCAAGCAACGTCAGCCTACACAAGTGGAGGGGGCGAAAGCCAGCTCTTGTAGAGATTGGGAACAACAAAAAGAACACAAAACAATGGAATTGGTGTTCGTCAACAGTTTGCTGCAGCATTTTGAGTCGTCGCTATTGATGGTAGCGCATGGCATCAACGGCCAAGTGAGGTTATTGTGGGTGAGAAAATACATTTAG